CCCCCCCCCCCCCCCCCCCCTTCTATTGATTATATCTTCTTACTTAATCGATTTCATTTCAGGCAAGAATCGCTCGATTTATCCTTGCAACGTTACGGAATCAAAGATCAAAAGGTTACGGTTGAAGTCGTTCATTTTCTCAATGGAGCAAATCTCGAGGTACTTTTGCTTTTGATATTGAGAAAAATGTATTCCTGGACGCTTTCAGCATATTTCCAGCGGTTTTGATATTTTTTTCAGTCTTTGGTTATGTAAAAAAAGTGTATACTGTATATGGCAAGGCAATGTATCAAAATATAATTTTTAGTGATAGTGTGTAGTAAAATGTGTTTATAACGTTGCACTCAAGGGTGTGGCCCGTTGGTCAAAGAAGTTGGGTTGAGATACATTTGGTTTGACATTCGATTTTTGCACTAGGTGATTTCTTTCCATCTGTCCTAGCTTTTGTATAGGGAGTTTTATCTGGTACTTGTAGCTGGTACATGTGGAATTAGTCGAGGTGCGCGAAAGCTGGTTTGAACACCACAGTCATAAAAAAGAAGTGTTTACAGCTTTGCCTAGATATGGAGGGTTATTCATACCAAATTCACATTTAGATACTGATAAAGGGCAAAACTACTACCATACATTGTACTGAATTGGTTAGGTATTTTGCTTTTGGGGATTATAGACCATATTTTGATTATTTTTTCCCCTTTTTCTTAGGTGTCTCTGTTACTACTGGAAAACTATGAGCCTCCAACACTTGCTTGTGCTCTCAATGAAGTTCTGGCATTGTTAGTAGGAGATGGGTTGTCAAATATGCCCACAATTATAGCCCCTTTTGTTGTGGCTGCATCTAAGCTTAAGATGGAAAATAGAACTTCTGTTTCAGTTGACAATATATCAGTTTATGGGTTGCAAGTAGGTGCCTCTAGTGACCTTACTAAAGCTTTGTGCACAAATTTGCAAATCCCTCCCCCATCGTTGCAGCTTTTTAACGAACAGTTGGCCTGCTTACTTCAATTGGTTCAAGTCCTGAAGATGCCTACTTTTGTTATAATTGGCAAAAAAGGTCAAAATTTGCATCGTAAGACTTCAGAAGAAGAACATGAGGTACTTTATAAATGTTCATATGCTTGTTCAGTAAATGGTTGTTTTTCGTGCTTTTAACATTAGAGCTGCTTCTTTGTTTCTTATCTAAATTTTTTTTAAGATGTAGTCCTTGTTCAAAATGTAGTCTTCTGAACAATTTAATCCTGGTATTTATTTATTTTTCGTATTTCTGCATGTGTTTTAAAAATGAGGTGGGAGGGGGAGAGGGGGAAAGCACTTTAAATAAGAGTAAATTTAGCCCTAGTGCAGTTTCTATTGTTGTATCCTATTGCAGCTGGCCGAGCTGAGTGGCTTATGTATTGCCATGCAGTAAGTTATTACAGCTGCAAAATCAAACCAAAGTGGCAAAAACCAGCTCTTGATTGCTGAAATTCATGCAGATCAAGATAGACAAAGCCATAAATTGTCTCTGATTTAATATGATCAACTTTTAAGTCTGCTAATATCATTGTTGCATTTCCTGTGACAACAGAAAACTAACTTGATTAAGGAATCTGAAAACAGACTGAAAGAAAGCACTTTAAATTTTAAAATAGAATAATTTGGCTCTCATGCAATTAACTTTGATATATATCCTATTGCAGCTGGCCGAGCTGATTGGCTTATGTATGCCAGGCAGTAAGTTTATACAGCTGCAAAATTTAATCCAGAGTGGCAAAAAAACCAGCTCTTGGTTGCTTGAGTTCAGGCTGATCAAGATAGACAAAGCCATATATTTTCTTTAGTTAAATATAATCAAAATTTTAAGGTCTTAGATAACGTTAACATTATTATTTCCTTTTCTATGACAATTGGTTTCTTGAGTTCAAGAAGATCAAGATAGACAAAGCCATATATTAACTTTTGGTGCGACATATATACCAGAATTTGAAGTCTTAGATAACATTAATGTTATTATATCCTTTTCTATGACAAGTAACATAAAAAATAACTTTCAATGGAGTGTACTGCTGAAAAACAGAATGAAATAAAACACTTTAAATTAGAATATTTTTGCGCTCATGCAATTAACTTTGATAAATATCCTATTGCATCTGGCCGAGCTGAATGGCTTATGTATGCCAGGCAGCAAGTTTATACAGCTGCAAAATTCAATCTAGAGTGGCAAAAAATCAGCTCTTGGTTGCTTGAGTTCAGGCTGATCAAGATAGACAAAGCCATATATTATTTTTGGTTAAATATACTCAAAATTTCATGTCTTAGATAACATTAACGTTATTATTTCCTTTTCTATGACAATTGACAAGTAACATAAAAAATAACTTGACTAAGGAATGTACTGCTAAAAACAGAATGAAAGGAAGCACTTTAAAAAGAATAATTTAGCTCTCGTGCAGTAAACTTTGATATATCCTATTGCAGCTGGCCGAGCTGAATGGCTTATGTATGCCAGACAGTAAGTTAATACAGCAGCAAAAATCTAACCGGAGTGGCAAAAAAACCAGCTCTTGGTTGCGTGAGTTCAAGCAGATCAAGATAGACAAAGCCATATATTGTCTTTGGTTAAATATAATAAAGAATTGAAGTCTTAGATAATGTTAATGTTATTTACTTCATTTTCTATGACAATTAACATAAAAGATAACTTGATTAATTACTGCTAAAAACAGAATGGAAGAAGTACTTAAAATAGAATAATTTAGCTCTAGTGCAGTTAACTTGGATATGTCCTAATGCAGCTGGCCGAGCTGAATGGCTCATGTATGCCAGGTAGTAAGTTGATACAGCTGCAAAAATCAAACCTGAGTGGAAAAGTTGCTTGAGTTCAAGCAGATCAAGATATTTTAAGCCATACATTGACTTTAAGTCTTATAGAGTAATATAACACCATTATTCCCCTTTCCTCTGACAGTAACAGAAAATAAATCAAGTTGATTAAGGAATGAACTTGTGAAAATAGACGGATTTGTGGAAGCAGCTACATATTTTGAAAACTGGTAATTGCTGTGAAGGTTTTCTTAAGCAACCATTCACATTATTTTGCTGTTGTTACTTCTCTCTTTCAAACTGCTTGGAAGTGCTTTATTTTAAGTTGCAGAAACAACCTCTATATCTATGAGTCCACTTGTGAGATTACACTGGTATGTTGTTGTTTCTTAAGCAACCAACATTGTGGTTCTAGGGATTTGATTGATGTAGTTGAATTAGAGCTATCGACTTGAATATTATGCCATTTATCCTCTGAAATTCTCTGACCAGAATGACGGATCTAAGCCTACCTGTCTGTAATTTGATCAATGTTCAAGTGTTTACTTGGAGAATATCATTTCTCTATCCCAGTAGGAGGGCTCGATAGAGTTAGCAGTTACTTCTCCTCCCTCCTCCCAGCCAAAGAAAAAAAAGGTGAAAAATAAAGTATACTAATACATATCTCACTTTCCAACTTCCAGGTGATACATGAGATAGGACAGCATTTGGCTAGCCTCTCATCTCTTAGTTTCTCAGGAGAAAAGATAGCCTGGGATGCAACAAAGTCTTCAAAAGAAACACAAGAGCCTTGGCGTGCATTATATGGTTGAATCTCTAACATGGCGTGTTATTGATTTCAGTATACTCCTAGGCTAAGAGTCCCAGCAGATCTGTGGGCAAGCACAATTGAGCGTGGTGTATGAACCCAGAGAGGCCAATATTTCCTTGAGGCAGATGAAGTTGATTGCATTCACTTTGTAGTTTCGAAGCAAAATGTAAAGCTTCTTTGTTCCGAGATCTACTGCTAATATTCCATTCTCCATTTTCTTTCTTGTATCCCATGGCATGTGTTGCATAACCAGTAAATCCTCAATATTTTTTTATATTAGTTAATTATAAACCATAGAATTCTTAAAATTTTCTTATTAACCTTTATATTACATAAATAAATAGAGACCATATATATACGAACGGATACTTTTTTTCTTTTTCTTTTCAGTGTTTTGTATAATTGCATTCTCTCCGATTATTTTTTTAAGGATACACGTTAATTAAGGGGAAAATATTCTGCTCTCTATTTTCTGCTGAAAGCTGAACCTTGTTGATAACTTAATAATAACAACAATATACCATATATTTAATGTATTTTTTATGTATTAATTCGCCATAGTACTAAATTCTCCTCATCTTGGCTTTTGAAAAGACCCTTTTGTGACATTTGATTAAAGTTCTAATTAGAGGTTATATGTACATGTCAATATCTTAGGTTAGCCCCTTTGAGATAATGGGTTTCCCAAGTTTTTGTTGATTGGATTCATTCACAAATAGTGAGTAATCTACCTTTCAATAAGAGGTTTTTTTAACAAAAACTTAAATTAACTGGAACTTAAAATAGGTACCAAACCCCTCTAGGAAAACTAATAGAAGATCCACTCAAATCAGTTTAATATAAAACAATATACTATTATATATAGTTTAATATATATTTAATTTCTATATTATTATACGCTGTCACACAAAATTGACATATTATATATTATATTTCCCCTGATATAAGATATAATATTAGATACTAATTGAATATTTTATGTTGGATAATTTTTTTTTTAAAAATTCCCATTTTAACATCTCCACAACTAGTAGAGTCTAGAAACGTCACCTCCCACTAGAAAAAGCAAGGCACTCTTGAGTTCTCTTTATTCACTAGAGATACAAAGTTTGGGTGAAGATATGGTGGCAGATAAGGAGGAGCAAGAAAGTAGGGGAAAAAAAAGTTGTATCTTATAGATTTTGTAGTTTTCAAGAAAAAACTATACTAAGGACAAAATGAAAAAAAATAATTTTATTTTATTTTAAATTTCTAAAATTTAAGATAATTGCCTTTTAGGAAAAAGATAAATAATTTTAGACAGAGGAAGTAATAAGACTAATAGCCTCCATCCCAAAAATAAGTGTAAAAGAATTTGCTCTAGTGTAAGTATTGTTTTAAAATTTCAAAACAATAATAAGTACTAGTATTCAACTTCAAAAGACTTTATTTTGAATAACTTTTTTAAAAGACATCAATTTTGTTTGACACTTATTTTGAAATGAAAGAAATAATAGGGCTCGTGTTAAATGAAAATTTGTGGCGTGTATTTGGGCTAAGGGCAAAACAACAAGTGGCAGTTGATTGCTGAATAGAAAAATAAAGAATAATGAAGGCGTGGGGATCGACGATTGACATGCTACACTTAAACCGTCAATTTAGTAAAATATTCAAAGTGTTAGCTCATTATTGACCTCACCCTTCTTTTTATTTTTTCTATATCTATTAAGTGAAATCCATATTTGACAGAATCTAGAATATAATTAGAGAATCTTCTAATTTCCAGAACACTCAAAACAATTTGAGTCCTTTCACTTTTTTGTAATAACTTTTCGTGAACTCTTGACCAAAAAACCCACGAGAAAATTCAATAAACAGTTGCCACCTGTGTAATTTTTGTATTTTATATGGTACTTTTGTTGACTATTTTTAGTTGAAATTTCAGAGAAGGTCTGCTCAACTTTGTTTTTAGCATCGTGAGTAATTCATTTGTTCATTTGAGATAAATAGTTAAGTAGATTTGAATTGAATTATGGGATCATTGGATGATAGTTTTGCAGTGCATAATTTGAATAATATAAGTTGTTCAATGGGAGAAGTGACTAATTCACAGCAGCAGAAGAAGAAAATTGTGATCGGTGATGATGGTTATGTTCTAGAAGACGTTCCTCATTTGTCTGATTACATTCCGAATCTTTCTGTACGTTTTCTTTACCTCTACCTATCTCTTATTTTTAGAGCTACTATGATTGGTCGAATTTATAACTTATGACTTTTTAAAAAAAAAGTTATTTTATTTCTTCTTATTTATTTGTGAATTCTCATCTAGATTCAATTGATTAATTAATTGGTATACAAGTTTCCTTTTGATTCCCTATGTTGAATATTGAACAAAAGTACTGGTAGTGTTGCAGTATGATTGAATTATATTTGTGTATGATTAAGTTGATACTTTCTTTATATTTGTTTATTTATAAAGATAAAGAAGCAGTTGGTGGAATATGATTGATTTCTCAGATCGTTATTATCTCAGAAAGTCACATTTCTTCTTGATTCCAATTTTCCGACTTTTTAAGATAATAACTATTAGTTGAGTAATCATCTGATAAATGAACCCGATTTTTGCTCTATGAGGTGTTTGTGCTTCCAATTCTTTCTATGATCTATACTCTCCAAGGGATAAAGAGTCTCTATTTTGATCAAGTACTAAATACTTGTCCTGTTATTGCAGACATATACTAATCCATTGCAGCATAATCCTTCATATTCAGTAGTTAAGTAAGTCACCTGATATTATTCTCCTTTAGTTTTGGTTGCTTATGTATAAAGTTCAAGAGGATCAGATTGATCAACTAAAATTTTAACATTTTTCCAGGCAGTATTTTGTCGATGAGGATGATACAGTTGCCGAAAAGGTCAGTTCTGTTTAAATGGAAAAAATATTTGTGGATTACCTTCTAATCATTTGGAGAAGCAATTATATGTACGGAGACAAAAGTCGTTTTAATTTGTCTTAATTACAATGCTTATATCGTTGGCGGAATTTTCTGCCTCCTCCATATTCCTATAAGAACATAAACAAAGATCGTCTAAGATCTGCTGAAACAAACTTAAAGTTTCATGATATTTTGAGGGAATACTGAATAGAATGTATATGATAGATATCCCATAATGGAATACTGGTTGGACAAGGTTTTTTTCTGCTTACATGTTTGCCTACAAATTAACAGGTTGTTGTCCACAAGAACAGTCCAAGAGGGTTACATTTTCGTCGAGCTGGTCCTTGCCAAAAGGTATATGAAGTTATCTAATGTAACTACTGCATATTCAGCATCCAGATTCTATGGTTTTGTCGAATTAAATATGAATGTTCTGGATGATTTTTCAGGTTTATTTTGAACCAGATGATGTTTATGCATGTATTGTAACATGTGGAGGCTTATGTCCCGGTCTCAATACAGTTATCAGGGAAATAGTATGTGGCCTACACTACATGTATGGCGTAAGCAGAGTCATGGGGATAGATGTGAGTATACATTTCATTCCATGTCACAGTAATACATTCCAGCAATTGCATAATACATAAATAGACACCTTAACTTGGTCTCAACTGGCAACTAATTAACACTTCAACTCGTCCTCACTGGTGTCTCGTGGATACCCAAAGCTGATGTGGCACATAAGTTTTGGAGGTTTCTAGATGATCGTTTTGTAAGTTGGAGTGTTCAACTGACACAGTGGTGGAGACGAGTTGAGGTGTCTAGATGTGCACTTTCAAAGTTGGAGTGCTTACTTGCTAGTTGAGGCCAAATGAGTGTTTGTTTATGTATTATGCCTTCGAAAAATAAAGCAACTTTACTTATGACAATGGTTACATATTTGGTGTCCCTTTTATTTAAAACTCTGCTCATCAAAATGCTTGATAGATAGTTGTAGAACCAGTAGCATCAAGACTCATCTTGAAGAGGATTGCAGCAACTAGATTAATAGTTCTCGCAATCCAAAGTATAATGCATAACTTTGGGAATTTTTAGGAACACAAGGAGTAAGATTGAAATCAAACTTAACAAACAAAAAAGGTTGAAATCAAACTTAACAAATAAAAAAGGTTGAAATCAAACTTCATTATTCTTTCGAAGTTTTTAATATCTTGATCTTCTGCTATGTTTTAACCAGTACATTCTATTTTGATTTGTAATTCAAAAAGTTTGCTTTATGCATATCTGCATCAGAACTAATGAAATGTGTGGATGTGTAGGGAGGATATCGAGGTTTCTATTCCAAAAACACGATTCCGTTGACACCAAAGGTGGTCAATGATATCCATAAACGCGGTGGAACAATTCTTGGGACATCTCGAGGAGGTCATGTTACCAAGAAAATAGTAGATAGCATTCAGGACCGGGGTATCAATCAGGTAAAACTTTATTAGTGAACTAACTCAGGATAATTCATTTAAGAAGTAACTCAGGGTATTTTCTTTCCTTCTAATATGTGCATCCAGTAAAGATATGTTGCCTTTTGTTTTCAAGGTTTATATAATTGGAGGAGACGGAACCCAGAGAGGGGCCGCGGTGATATTTGAGGTAGACCTTCTTAGCCCTTAATCCGTAACCATTCCAGAATAATACTTCAGAAGAACATGTTTTAGATCAATTGGTCATTCTAATGTAACCACTTGAACCACTTGATGTGATGTAATATGTAGTGTGTTGATGGTGAAAATAATGAAACTGTCACTCAAGTTTATTCTGTCTCTTCTGCTACAGGAAATTAGAAGGCGTGGTCTCAATGTTGCAGTTGCTGGAATCCCCAAGACAATAGATAATGATATACCGGTAACTACTTTTTCATATAGATTATACAAGTACCAAAATATTCGGTGGGTGACCAAATTAAATTAGTGATCTTTCTGCTTCTCTTCAGGTTATTGACAAGTCATTTGGTTTTGACTCCGCCGTTGAGGAAGCCCAACGTGCTATTAGTGCTGCTCATGTTGAAGCTACCAGTTTTGAGAATGGAATTGGCCTTGTGAAGTTAATGGGACGGGATAGTGGTAATCTTCACCTGCTATATTTTTCGATTGCAGATTGATACTGCTACATATACATGACAAAACTGATCTACTGCATATAAAATAGTAGAAATTGTCTGTCTGATTTACATTTCTTTAACATGTATTCATTGTGCAGGGTTCATCGCGATGTATGCTACTCTTGCTAGTCGAGATGTTGACTGCTGTTTGATTCCAGAATCCCCTTTCTATCTTGAAGGAAGTGGTGGACTGTTTGAGTATATTGAACATAGGCTCAAAGACAACGGACATATG